GAGGAATGCGGCAAACCCCGCCACTGAACAATCAAACCAGATGGCATGCAGGCACTCCGGGACACAGGCTGGGATGCCGGGTGTCTATCCGACACGGCTGTCTGACCCACGTCCCGGCGAGGACCACGTTGTGCCCAGCCCCAGCATACCATTGGTTTTACACAATAAATCTAACATTGGGCAGCTGTGACATAAAAGTGTCACCAGTTTATATTTGCACCCCCATCCCAGGAATGGTTTACAGTACCTGAAGTACAGGCAGTAAGTGGTGTCACTTCCCTTTTTACAAATAGTTGACCTTAAAGACAGTGGGCTGCCATCTCTGCTGTGCTGCGTTGGTGCTCTCCTCTCCCGTGAGCTCCACTTCAGGTTCAGCTTCAGCTGTGCTTTAGTTATGGCCAGACAGTGCTGCACCGGCCTTTGCCTCTTAAATGGGCTAAATTAGCTCGGGGACAGGCTCTGCTGATGGAGCTTCTGAGCTCACAGCCAGTGCTGTCATCATCCTTGGGATCTGCGTGGGACATGTCTGCACTCCTCGGGCGTGAGCAGCGGGGAGCAGCAGCTCTGGAGCCTCGGCCACAGGCTCCTGCTTCAGGCACCGACCCCAAACCGCACACTGGAGATACCCTGAGATACAGAGCATGCAGGTGTAAAACCTTCTCCTCCACCTTTGCTCACATCCATCCATCTCACAGACCACATCTGCACTGTTGCTGCCAATTTACGTCGCCTCAGAGAGCGAAAAGTTCCCCCTCCACCACCTCCAGCTGCCCTGGGCATTGGCAAAATCCCCGGATTGGAGAGAACGATGCTGGCAAACCTGGGGGCTGTTGGCTGGGCTCACGTTTTGCAGCAACACCCATCAGACGCCTGGGTGGCATCACCCACGGCCGCGGGGACTGCGGCACGTGGAAGCCCGACGGCACAGATTGCAGAACACACCTGAGTGTGGCGGATACTCGTGCGAGAAAAGCCCTCATGAACTGTGGCACTGGGCAATGGCTAAGAGTTGCAGTCGGAAAAATGAGAGCTGTATCCACTGCTCACTGAACGCAAAATGAGAAAAAGCCAGGTAAAGATGCTCCTGC